CTCAACTTCAGTTCACTGCCTCCGTCATACTGCTTCTTTAAATCTGTAATAAAAGATCTATAATCAGCTGATAAAGCAGGTAACAGTTACTGTGCCAAATCTAGAATAGAGGCCTCCTCAGTCCTAGTTGTTTCTGCTCTTGAGTAGGAGGTGCTGTGCAGGGACAAGCTGCTCTCAGCAATTACTGTTTTCAGCACCATCAACTCAGCTTGAGCTCATGTCTCAGCTTTTGCTCTGCGGTAGTTCGCGCCTCCCTCGCCCTAAGGTACATCAATGCCTTATGGCTTGGCGGATATTTTTCCTAGGAGAACCTGAAGCGTTGGATCCAAGGGAACTTGACAAACTGTGGACGATCTGCTTTCCTCTTTGACGAGATGGACAGGATGCACCCGGGTCTGATCGATGTGATCGTGCCATTCCTGGGACCCTCCTGGGTTGTTTATGGGACCAACTACCGCAAAGCAATTTTCATTTTCATAAGGTAAGAGAGGCCCGTGTCAGGCATAGCAACATCACGGGGTATCCCAGCACAGTGCTTCTAACTTGCACAGAGGTTGGTATGTACTTCAGAGTACACTTTTGTTTTGCTTTTCCTTTTCAAAACCTTGAGCCTCTGCAAATGCCAAGGGACCGTATTTCATTGTAAATACGCAAAAGGTAGAGAGTCCGAAAGCGCTCCACTGTTCCTGTTATTTGGCTACCTTTACAGGAGTTGCTTTAGGCCAGGCAGCTGCGAGTACCTAGCTTGCACACAAGGCTGCTGGAGGGTGTCAGATGCTGCCTCTGTCCTGCAACGTCATTTTCCTGGATATGTCAAAATAAGCTTCTTATTCTTTTGCAGCAATGCAGGAGGAGAACAGATTAAGGAAATGACACTGGATCTGTGGCATGCCCACAAGGATCGGGAGGAGATCAGCCTGCAGGACATGGAATCAGCCATCTCAAAAGCCGTTTTTGAAAATCCTCAGAGTGAGTGTCTCAAAGAGATGCTGTTTTTTGCAGGGAGCAAAGCCCAGCAGAGGGAGCCAGGCCCCATTCCACACAGCCCACTGACACTGTCTGGCATCTCCAAGCGGAGAGAGAGAGCTAGGGGTTGAGGAGAGGGAACTGTGATCACCTCAAAGTTTCCTGGTGGAGGGAAGGAATGGCCCAGAATTCCCAAGCCAGCAGGCCTGTTACACCATGCTATGCTTAGCAAAGTGCTTTGGACAGAAGGTGCATTCATAATGGAGAGATGGCGAAGTGTGCTCACTGAGAAAGTAGCAAGAAGTACCCATACCCACTGCCTACTTAGATCTCCTTGCTTTGCCCTTGTCTAGGCTGGGCCCTATCACAGGGAGGGGAGCTTAAAGTTTATCTGGCCGGGCTAAAAACCACCATTCCTGGAGAACAACAAATCTCTGTTTTGCAGTGGGGGGCAACAGATGGGTACAGCTCTCACCTTATACAAAACTGGAGCAGCAGATCTGTCTTCAGCTGAGTATTTTGGCTTCACACAAAGCAGCTCTTTGAATTCCAAGGACTGCAAAGACTCTCTGAAGGTAAAACCTTTTGTCTGTTCCTTTGCTTTTGTAGGTGGATTCTGGAAATCTGGGATCATTAATGAACATCTCATTGATTTTGTTGTGCCCTTCCTCCCACTGAAGCGCCACCACGTAAAGCAATGCGTCATCAATGAACTCATCCAGCAAGGCCTAGAAGTACGTCAGGATGTCGTACAGGAAGTGGCTGACAGCATCCCCTACTTCCCAGAGGAAGAGAAAATATTTTCATCAACAGGCTGCAAAACAGTAGCCTCTCGAATCAGTTTTTTCTTCTAGCCACGAGCAAGGACTCTCCTCTGAGGTAGCGCGTGGCGTCTATAGCAGATCAGACACGAGCAGCCCTCAGGAGATGATGTACCTGCAGCCTTGCTCAGATTCATAGGATTCAGGACGTTTATTGAGCTGTAAAGCTGCAGAGCCCAGGACTGGAGGGATAAGCACGAGGAGCTACATGTTACCTCCCAGTAGCACAAGCGCTCTCCCTGCTGACCTCACCTCTCCAGCCCCAAGGAGGCAGCTGCAGGATACAGTTGTGGGAGCAAACGCAAGTGATGTGACTTAAAGCACTTTATTGATTTATTCTTTGGCCAAGTGAAGGTGGATACTGAACAGCCCAGTGCACCACCCAAGACAGGCTGTGACAAACAAGAGAAGATGCCAAGAGGGATAGTAGTGACAGGGAGGTTTCTCACCTGTTCCCTGTCAGAGGCACCCATCTGTGGCTCTCCCCTCTCCTGGCAGCTATTGAGATCTAATCCATTGAGATTCTGAGCCCAGAAAAAGGCTTTATCTACAGCATTTTAACAATATTTAAATTTTTTATTTTTTTTAGTGTGACTGTTTGCCTCAGTTCCTTGGTACAATGTGAAGATGCTGGTGTTCTGTCACCTGCAACGCTAGCCCACGAAGACCTTTGAAAATATAGTGAAATGTGCTTTTCAAGGAAGTTCTAGAGCCAACTTCTTTCCAGTTTCCTTTCACTGTGAATAGTTGCTGGTAAAGTCCAGCTTCAGCATCAGAGTACGAGTGTAATGAGGAAAACGGCAACAGCTGACCTGCCGAGAGTGCAGCTCTTCCCACCATCCCCTAGTCCATCTTCCCCCTAAGGCCCAAAGGATTTCCCTGCAGCCAACTTGGGGCAGGGTGGGGGGAGGCGTCTTGCTTGTCTTCCCAGCTACAAAAAAGTTGAGTCCTACCTCCAGAGGAGACTGCAATGTCACAAATGGTTTTGAAAATTCTTTTTATTCAGTGATGATTTCTCCAGTAGGCTGAGAAGCTCTTGCTGTGGTGAACTGCTGAGCCTCTTGCACATCCTTCTGCTGGTCAGACCCCACAGGCTTTGGCTGGGCCAGGATCCATTCGGCTTCTGGAAAGTGCCACTTACAACGAGGGGACCTAGGGATAACTTGGAGAAGATTAGTACTGTCGAGCACTGGGCGCACGCAGCGCTGCTGGCCTTTGTCCCCTGTTTTAATCCCCCCCCTCCCCCCATGCAGACAGTTACTGGGAACAAACTGCCCAATGGATGGGCAAACAGGGACATTTATGAGAGTCCCCAATACTCCTCTTGGGCCCTGGGCCTCCGCCCTACTCTGAAACGAGCTGCCAGCACTTGGGACCATTCCAGCCTCCCTCCAGAGCCTGAGCTTGGGGGACAGCAATGTCGGACACCATCCAAATGCTGCCTGGGAGCCAGTCCACAGGCAGACTCAAATATCCTGCCTCTTTCAAAAAATGTGACGCGTTTCTAATTTTAAAATAAATCCTTTAAGAAATAAATGGTTGGGGAACAGTTGCTGACTTGGATTACTGACTGTACCTAGTGCCGAAAGACTTAAGATGTGCAGTTGCCTGGAAACAGCTGCCCAATGTGATAGGACTTTGGGGATTTAGGGGCAAAGAGTGGTCTCTAATTACGTAATTAGAAACAAGACCTTTCCCTGGCCAGGAAGTGAAATTGCAGTAACTGTCAGATGTACTCTGCAGAGGAGCCAGTGTAGGTACAGGAACGCTGCTGGGTCTCTCTGCCACAGCTGCGCACAGAGCCCTGCAGAGTACATCTCGGTCTCACAAAGCGCTAGTGACAGAGAAGCAGGAGGCAAAAGCCACGGCATCTCCTTCCTAGGGCTACCGCCTAACAGGCCCCATACCCCCATACCCCGCACGTGGGGAGCCGAGGTGAGGTACTGGTGAGCCCCATGGGCAGAGCAGCCGTTTCTACAGCAGCTATTGCTGTCACTCAAGAAGCTTTCTGGGTGCTAGATCAAAGCTGTGGCCAGGCTCACACACTGAGCAGAGCCCATTTCCAGCCCGGTGCACAATGCAGCAGGTTCGATTTCAGCCCTGTGCCAGCCTGCTGCTAGAAACGAACAGCCAAAGGCTGAAGGCGGCCATTCATTTACCACTTCCAGTAGAGCAGAGGCTGACTGGAATAACCCCCAGGCAAATACACTTTTTGGCAGAACTGGCTTGCTTTCTCTGGAAAGCAGGACGAGGCCAGGGCTACCCCAGGCAGGAGCAGACCCTCACCTCCGTCCTTGCAGGCAAGGCACAAGAAAGTGTGCGAGTGCATCCATCTCCCACTGAACCCCCTGCCTGATGCCCCAAGTAGCCTCTACTTGCCCCCTGCCACCACGGCTCTCTGCATGCTCGCTCACTCACACGGGTCGCTATCCCTCCACAGGTGACCAGCTCCTCATACAGCTCGTAGTCTGACGTGCAGCGGCTGATGCTGTTCTCGCAGCCCTGCCAGGCTCCCCTGGCCTCCTGTTGCTTTACACTCTCAGCTACCACTTCCTTCGGTTCATCCTCTAATGTGATCGGTGGCCTGGGGACAAGTATCAATGCAAAAGTAACATCATTTACCCAATGGCAAATACCACAAAAGACACTTTATATAGAAAGACTCAGTAGAAACGAGACTCCTGCTTGGAACAAGTTTCCAAGGCCACATGTAGATGTCCAGCAAGCCACTGTCACCTTTTAGGAGCAGAAAGGGGAAAAACCAGCTTTTGACAGGATGAATGATTAATCATTTGGCTCTGAAGGCAGCAGAAACACATCACTTCATTCCAAAATAAACAAAACCTTCACTCTCAGAGGTTGAGCAACCCCCACCTGGAGTCAGCAGCATTAGCAGACTAATGCCCAAGACAAACTACACCCCCCTCCGGCACACACCTACTGTGTCTGTTGCACCAGGTGAGATCAGCCAAAACTGGGGATTCTGGAGGGCACAGAAGCTTTTTCTCCAAGGTTGCTTTAGCGAGGCGTCCAGCTTCACTCCTAAGCACAGCCCGGATAGTCTTTCTTGGAAAGAGGTAGTGCACAAGGGAAAGGACCTGCAGTGGTGACAAGACAAGACTTGGATCTCCTCCCAACATGCCTGCACTCATGGAAAAACTCTTCTCCACAGTCAGCGCTAAGCACTGAGCCATGAGGTTTCCACTACTGCAGCCAAACACCTGCCTTACACCATCAGCAACGGACTTGCCAGCCTCACCAGGACCTGCCCAGCCAACGCCTGCCCAAACAGGGAGCCCGCATTTCATTGCGGAGAAGTACCAAATCCATCAAAACCTGCTGATGAAAACCATGCTGCTACCCTCAGCTGTGCCACAGCAGGCAATGGCAGTGTGAGGACACGCTGCTCTTATCGCAGCCAGCTGCAGGAGGGCTGCTGCCCTGGATTAGGTTCAAAGAAACAGAAGAGTGAAAATAAACAGCAAGACAAAGGCCTTCTTGATGGCTTTAACACATTACTGTTGTAAAACTCAAGCTATCAACATTGTTGCCTGACTTGGACCTTTACCCCGATAGGACGCTTGACCCCAGCTGCTGACTCCCGATTCAGAACAGTTGCCCCAAACAGCCTAAGGAATAGCCAAGGCAACAGGCTAGGAGCGTTGCCCATGGCGGGCATCGGGGAGCGGTGCCAGGGTTGTACCTCGCTGTCAGTGGGGTCGAGCCACAGACTTAGCGCAACGTCCTCCCTTGCACTCTCCACTCCCCCCCGGCGCACACGGGCCCTGGCCCGGCACAGGTAGTACAGCGGTTTGTGGGGGTCATGCTTGATGGCTGCAGAGAAGCGAGCTTCTGCCTCCTGGTACTGCCTGCGAGGGGACAGGAGAGTGCGCTCTGCAGCCTGGTACCCTGCGAGCCCTCCATCACCACGGCAGACCACACCGACCCTCCTGCTCACCTCGCCGCTAAGTCCTGCTGGCCCTGCTCATGCAGCACCATTGCAACCCGTCTCCGCACACCCCAGTCCCCTGGGCTCAGCTCCAGTGCCTGCTGGTAATCCGCTAGTGCGTAGGCCAGCTCCCCCAGGCGAAGGAAGCAGTCTGGAGCAAAGCAACGTGAACATCTCGGTAGATGAGAGCAGCTGGGGTCTGGCTGCTGACCCTGGGCTTTGTCTAGGGCTCTCAGCACCAGTGTGCAACATGACTACCTCGTGTCCAACCCTCCTCAACCACAAAGGTTTCAGAATCATTAGACAAACGCTCAGTGCTCCAACAACCAGGAGATGCAGCCCAGTTTGGAAGAGAGCAGCCGTTCTCAGCTGAGCCCCAGGAGAGACCACGCAGAGAGCGAGCAGAACCACCAGTGGCAAACCCCAGCACGCGCAGCTGGAGGCAGAGGGACGGGGCTGTAGCAGAGCCACGCCAGGGCTCCCACACGCAACACAGGGCTCTCCCTGGCTGCGCACGGCCACCCCCAAATCCCCTCATTCAGGAGTTTATCAGCTCTGCCGGCAGCTCCTAGTACGTCTCGCCACTGCTAAAACACTGAGGAGGCATGTCCAAGAGCGCAGAGCCGTTACCTGCAGGCACTTCCGAGTCCGGAACAGGACCAAGGGAGAACCCACGTGTCCTAGTCCCCAGTCTAGCTGCTGTTCCCTAACACAGGGCCGCAGAGCAGGGCCTTCCCCTGCAGACACTCACTGCCCGAGTGCCAGGTTCTGCTGTTTGACACCCCCACCCTATCCATCAAACACTGCACAACTGCACAGCCCTTACCCTAGGGACCCTGCTCTGACCCCCAGACACTCAGCCCTGGCCCAGCCACCTGCCTCCTCTGTTGATGTAGAGCCCTTTCTCCCTCTTCTCGTTTCGCAGAGCCTCGCCAAGGAGCCTCACAGCCTCATCGAAGAGGCCCAGGGCGTAGCAGCGCACAGCGCAGTCATTATAGGTGAGCACGAGCTGCCGCCAAGCCTCCTGGGCCTCAGGGCCCCCCTCAGCACCCAGCTCCCTCGCCCTGGCAAAATCCTCACAAGCCGCACTGAAGTTCTTGAGCCGTCGGAGGAGGGTCCCCCTGTGAAAGAAGGGCAAAAACAGGAGAGCTCAGAAGCCGGCAGGGCCGAGCGGCTGCGGCCAGGGCAACGCACTCGCTACCACCTCAGGATGAAGAAGTCGGCAGCCCAGGGGTCATTCTCAATGGCAAAGCTGATCTTGAGCAGGGCTCCTCGCAGGTCGCCGCGCAGAGCCTTCGTCACTGCCTCAGCCTTGGCCTCTCGGCCTCTTCTCAGCAGCCTCTGCTTCAGAGCTTGGGCAGCTCCATGCTGTGGCTCCAGCTCCAGGGCCTGCTGAATGTCCTGGTAACACAGGGCCAGCTGCCCAGGAGGCCAGGCATCATCAGGGCCTGGCACTCTCCAGAGCATCCCCAGTCACCAGGAGGTCACCCTGAGGCCCTCACAAAGATCTGGCCAGTCCAGAGGTCAGTGTGTCCCAAGTCCACCAGGGTTTTCTGATAGCTCTAAACCCCCATCTCAGAGGGGCAGGAAACACCTCACCCAACAGGCCATGAGGGGACATCATTGCTGACAGAGCACAGGTCAGACCATGTCTCCTGCTTCCCTGACACATCACAGCTCCCTGCACAAAGCCATCCCGTAACTCCAAATCCATACAGCTTCATCCAGTCGAGGCTGCTCCAGAAGCCCCAGCGGAGAGGAGCAATGCCCCCAGGCAGAGAGCCCCCGAACAAGGCTGGCACAGCATCACATCCCCTTGCCATACAGGGTGGGAGGGACCAGGATGGCCGTACCTGCCCAAAGCGCTCATAGAGCGAAGCACGGAGCACATACAGATCAGGGTTCCTCACGTCTTCCTTCAGATCTCTGTTAACCGTCTGGAGGCACTCTGGGAACTTGTTGAGGGCAGCAAGACACATGATGCTGCAAGACAAGATGGATAAGGCTGGAGGAGAACCCACAGCAGCACCAGCCCAGCTAAGCGACCTCGCGCTACCCGTTTTACCTCCTCTGGCGAAACACCCTGCAGTGAGGCTGCAACTCGGCTGCCCTTGTGAAGGCCTCCAGAGCCTCACAGTAGAGCTCCTGGTTGAGCAGACATCGGCCCTGCAGAAACACCCCATCAGTTGGTCACAGGACAGGACGGTGGACAGGAAGAGGTAAGTGGTGACTCACCTGCAGGTCAAGGACCAGGGCCAGACGTGCGAGGCAGGGCTGCTGTTGCGCAGGAGCCAGGGTAAGCGCCTTCCTGAAGTTCAGCATGGCCGACTGGAAGTCACAGAGCTGGAGGAAGGCCTCTGCCCGCTGCTGGTACAGCTCTGCCTGCACCATGGATACCCTCAGCGCATGCTGCCCCCCCAGCCTAGCCCTGCTCAAGCTACCCAGGACAGCCAGCATTGCAGCTGGCCTGAGCCGTGCTGCCTCCCGGCCTGAGGTGTCCCCCGGCCCAGTGGGACCCTTTACCCTTTGTGGATCCAAGTTGATTGCTTTTGAATAGCAGGTGATAGCTTCCTCCCACTGGCCAAGGGAGGAGAAGTCTAGCCCTTTCTGCCAGCTGCAGAAAAGAAAAAAAGTCATAAGCTAGGTCTAGCCACACGCTCCCAGGCTGGGGGATCATCATGCAGCCTCCACCAGGAGCTGAACAAAGCCCTGCTCCACACATAGGGCCAAGGCCCACTTGGGGCTGGGGGGTGGCCAGGGGACCATGCGTCCCCACTGCCCAGACATCCCCTCAGGACTTGACCACTGCCAAGGACAGTTTGAGAGTGGGATGTAACAGGCACAAACAAGGGAAACGTGAGGACTTACTGCTCCTGCATCCTATCCTGCACAATCACAGGGAGGCATTTCACTTCCCTGGGGCCCTCAATGCTGCGCAGACACTGGCTGGGCCTGAAGATCTTCTCCAAGGACCTCTCGCACCTTTCTTCTAGCTGCTTTTCTGGCACCATGGTTGCAAATAGCCCCCCTGCCTCCATCTCCATCCCACCTGGAGGGACAGTGCTGCTGCTCTTACATTCCCCTTAGGTGACCTCTGTCCCCAGCCCCACTCTCAGGCCCCAGGACTCAATACCTGCCCCACAGCACACTCTGGCTTTGCTCCCTCCACTTTGCTCCCCATCCCATCCCTGGGCCCCAGAACTCCTCCAACCTCTCTGACGCCAGGCTGGCTCTCAGCAGCTGCCCGGGCTGGGGAAGGAGAGGTCTCCCCTCGCTCTGTCCAGGCAGGCCCAGCCGCCTGGGACCCCCTGCTGCCAGGCTATCCCAGCCCACCACCTCCCAGGGTTGCTAAGCAGGAACCCAGGCGGGTCGTTGCTAAGCAGGAACCCAGGCGGGTGCAGCCCAGCCAGGAGCCAGGGCACCCCAGGGAGGGAGGGCAGCACACAGCTCACTGTCCCCCAGGCTCACCCACACCCTCAGCGAGCATCCCAGTGATCCCCCAAAATAGGGGAGAAGGGGCAAAGGAAGGGCCAGGACACCCTGACAAGGGCAGACCACAGCCGAGGTGCTGCAGCACCATTGGCCTCACCTCTACCTCACACCCCGACCCACGGCTGGACCCCACCGGTGGGCCCAGGCACACAGGCAGCAGCTGGATGTATCAGCCCGCTGCAGCCAGGCGGCTGCTTCGCAGCGGCCCAGGCCCGGGAAGGGGCCAAGTAAAGGAGGCC